TAGGAGCCAGCCGGGCAGGCAGAGAGATCTCCAGAGCACTGTAGTGATGTCTGGCAGATGGCAAATGCAGCTTTGTCCACAAAGGTGCTGTCTAATTTCTCCCTTTTTGCTTCTCAACCTGCTGTACTTTAGAATAGTCTCCTCTGCACTGTGGCAGATGGGGCCAGATGGTTTGCAGTGCAGAGTATAAAACCGGCCGTAACAGTTGATTTTCTTCCTTGTATTCTTCAGCTGATGCAAAAGCCAGGTCTTCTTTAAGAAACAGGGATTGAAAAGTCTAGCAATAAAAACATAAGCAACAGAACTATACTATGTCTCCAGACCCCTTATCATATACTGTTTGCCTGATTCTTAGATCATTGTTGATTATATTCTTAGGTTCTTGGTTAGGCATAGCTCATATGTCCCTGTTTGAAATTTGGTGCTGCTACAATGAGGTAATGGCAACCAACTGGTACCAGATGAAGATACCCTGGAAATGTTCAGGAGGAGGCTAATAAAGAGGTGAGAACTCAAAAAAGATGGGAGGATGGCTCAGAGCAAGGTGAAATGATGGCCCACAAGAACATTTGCAGTTTTTCTTATCAATGTAAACCTGGAATAGTAAATACTGTAACATACTTTTACGTTTCTACTGCTTGATTCAGCTCACATACTGTACAAGGTTTTGAGAGACTATACATAGTTGCATATAAAGAAATAAAACCAACTGGGCTGCACATGGGTCAAATCACTTGGAATAAAACCACAAGTTCCAATCTATAGGATTTTTAGTAGAAAACCTTATAGAATCAAATTATATACTGTAAAGACTTCTGCCTTGAAGTAAGTGAATATTCACAACTTTTCCTGTAACAGAAACCTGATAGATGTTTTAGTGTTTGCTAGTTTTTTTCTTACACTTTTCAAAATTAAATAAATTCCAATTATTTCTACATAGAATAATAGGATTGGAAGGGACCTTGGAGGTCTTCTAGTCCAACTTCCTACTCAGGCGTCAAATCCTGACAAATGGCTGTCCAGTCTCTTCTTGAAAATCTCCAGTGATGGAGTACCAACTTCCGGAAGTAAGCAGTTCCACTGATTAATTGTTCTCACTGTCAGGAAATTTCTTAGTTCTAAGTTGGATCTTTCTTTAATGATCTTCCATCTGTTTCTAACTGTCCTGCCCTCAGTTGCTCTGGAGAATAGGCTGTTACTCCTCTTCTGTTACTCTTCAAGTACTGGAAGACTGCTATCATATCACCCCTAATCCTTCTCTTTGCTGGACCAGATATACCTAGTTCCCTCAATCATTCATCCTATGGTTTAGCCTCCAGACCCTTTATCATCTTTGTTGGTTTTTTTGCATTCTTTCTAGAATCTCAACATCTGTTTTGTATCATAGTGACCAGAACTGGAGGAAGTATTTGAAGTGTGGTCTCACCAGTCCAGTATAAAATGGTATTATCTCTTTATGTGATCTTGAAATTGTTCCCCTCTTGGTGCAATCTAAAATCTACTCTTTATCTTTTAAGCTATTCTGAACTACTACAGTTACTTGGTTGAGAAGTATCCAAAATGTTTAAAATAAATATAGATATTGTATCAAATAATGTATCAAAACCACTGAGAATGAAATTCAAAGCAGCCAACCGCTGAAAGCAACTGCCTTTTATTGACATTATATGTCAAAGGATATTTGCCAGAGGTTTAAAAAGAATATTTGTTGTAATAATAACTAGGAAAGTTTCTGTAATTTAGCACAGTATATTTTATAAATCTCCAGTTTTTTGTTTTTTATTTCTAAAAAATATTAAGTTAAAGTAGACATAAAAGAAAAGACAAATAACTATCCTTGACAATAGTAGGAATGATAATTTTCTGAAGGTTTTTGATGCAATCTAGTTTAAACAACAAAATGCACAGGTTTAGTAACATTATAGGAAGTTTCAATGTAAATGTTAAATCTAAACAGCAAAATGTACACACAGACAACTACATAAAGACAATAATCTGTGACCAAGAATAATAAAATGCAATACAAGTCTGTGGATACATATCTTGGTTAAAATAAAACCTGCATTAAGAACAAAACCGTGCATCAACCTAACACGAGATTGTTAGTTTTGCTGGGACTTTTATGTCCATAAGGCTCTTGGAGAACATGGACAATATACAATTTTAGTTTTTTTTAAGGTGAAATCTTATGTTTCTGGTGATTTCAAGCTAAACTCATCATAGTAGTGCAACATATTTTCCATAGGAAATGATGGTAGTGGCAAATATCTCGCCCCAAAGATGCCACAGTTGGGAAGCAGATACAAAATCCTGCAAACTCTATTGTCTATGTGTAGGCATCAGAATCCTGTTTCTTCCTCCCCAAACATTTAGAAATAGTAACATGGCTGTTGTTTGGTCATACTACATATGACATTCATCTATGGATTGGAAACAAACATTCAAAATGCTCAGAATGCTTGTTTATAGCTCAAAAAAAAAAATTCCAAAATGCTCAGAACAGATTGTTTCATATTTGAAACAGCAATGTTACACTCAGAACAGGACATTTTGTGAAATTTTATACATGAAAGCTTTAAATATAAAATATTTTGCACACCATTAAAATACAATGCAAAGACATACAAAAGAAGGTCACATTTTCTGGAGGAACCATTAACTGATCTCATATACTGATCAGTTATGATACCTGCCAAACTTTATCCTTCATAGGCTAATTGAAGAAAATCTTCCATTTTGTATTTAAAAACCACCTGGTTCAAGTTTTGAACGAGTGATTGTGATGAAGGTAAAAGCACTTCAGAGGTAGTAAAGACACACTCTTCATTACTCTGGCCAATACGAAACTAAAATTAGGAAGATAGTCTATTTGTCCTTACTCTTGCGATGAGAGATAATGATCACTGTCAGTAGGTGGATTTTCACTTTTATAACCTATAATTGAGTAGTTGTAGCAGAGCAGTGGTTAGAGCCAAGTTTCTCTCCAGCCTTCATAATCTTTAAATTTCCCTAATGCCCATGTGTCGGACTCATTTTTCTATGATGCTTAGATGCATAATGAAGATTCATAATTGTGGGCTCCTAAATGCTTATTTGCTGCCATTCACTAAATATCTGGAATTAGAATTTTTATGAATAGAATCTTAGAATTGTCAACTATTTTCTTTTCTTAATGTATTATTTCATACTTACCTTAATAGTGATTGATATCAAAGTATTGTTTTTAAAAAAAAGATATTTCAAGCATGACTAGAAAATAGATTACTTACACGAGCATACTTTAGCTGTTAATCTCATCTAATACTTAATGACTAAGTATATAATGTATACTTATATATAATGATATAATGACTTTTAAATAGTGAGTTAGAAATAATTTCTGCTAAAAACATGTTCATTTCTAACAAGGATAACAAGGACAATGAAGCACAAAATCAGATTTCCATGAGTAGGATGTTTTTCTAGGCTTGCCATGAGTCTTATTCCCAATATCAAGTATGAACTTATCTGTATGTATGTATGTATGTATGTATGTATGTATGTATGTATGTATGTACAGAATGTAATTAAGTAGTTACATCTACACTGGTTATTTTTCTGTTTCATTTTTAATAGATGATAGTTATTAACAGAGATGAAAAAGCAGGGAACTAATTAAACAGGTGCATTGATAAGATATCAGTGTACTTCAAATAAGCACATTATAAAAATGAACAATGAAACCCTATTTTTTAAATTAACCACATTGTGCTTGCATATTAAAATATATTGTAAAAATGGAAAATAAGTAACTACCTCATTCTGAATTAATTCCCACAGATCATTAAACAACACTAATATTGATGGGTAGAATACTGTAGAAAAAAAAAAATCAACATTGTTGCTGTTTTGTTTAAATAATTATTTTAGGGCAAAGGAAGTCCTGACAATTTCAGAGAAAATATGACACACTACCTCTGGTATGTAAACTTTGACACAAATCAAATACATGAAATATTGTTTGAAAATTAATATGTCTTTCAAATGTACAAAAAGAACTTGCATTTGTCCAATGGGAACTTTCAATGATCAAGTGAAGTAGATAGTCAAGGGTACCTATGAATTAATCTAGGAATAGTATTTATCTCAATAAGAGAAGCACAACCTGAGGTCAGTGTATTGCATGGTGTCCTCAGAAACTTTCCCCAAATTGCTACCAAAACTGCAATATTTAACTTGAAAGAAGGGAAAATTATAAAATACATACAGAGTAATCCTATTAACCATATGTAATAGGAATTAATTTAACTAAAATAAATATAATCAAATTAAAAGTATCTTAGTTTTTGTCTTGGCTTATGTTTTTGCGATTACAGTCCAACCCAACCGTTCAACATGTGTCTTAGCTTGAAAGAAGTCATCTACTCTGACCTAAATAAAAATATTCAAGTGATGTGAAACATTAGCAGCATGTCCATACCAATATTCTCTTTGGGGTGCTTTTACTTCCACAACAATTGTGTCTCAGTGTCTCTAAATAAAATGTTGTGTCCTCATAACTTACCCATACTATTAAAATAGAATATCAACCTGGTACACATAATGACATGTCATATTTTACTATTAGTCCTTTGTTGTTGTTTCCCAAATTTTAACAAGCAACAATATACTTTCAGAGAAACCTGAAATTTCAAATATTGGCTGAGCAGCAATATTGAACGTCTGCTGAAAAGTAGGAAGCCCAGCCTGAGAGCCTGAAGCATTTCTCATGATTTATGGGAACAAGTCCAAAAGTCCTCTACTTCTTCTGAACATTTGTGTTGCTCATTATATTAACAATCCTGGATGTTCAAAATAAACATTAAGTAGTAAATCTTGCCAAGTTGAAGGACAATGAGTTCCAAGGCTTATCTTGATATAAACAGTCAATTAGAACTGTTATTAAAAAGTAGCAATGTCCAGAGTTGATATTCCTTCACAGGCGTTGCATAAGTATGTCTTTGAGAGGAATCTTTTCCCAATCAGATCTCAAGCAGGTCTTCTCCACTCTCGTCACTCTCTACAGTAAGTTGCCTTGTCCACCACTTCTTAACTTCTGATCCACATGAAGCCATGTCTGACATAGGATTCATTTTGCACACAACAGATTTCATAGTTGTCCGACCACCAATTCTTATATTGACTGAAGACACTGAATGGCTTATTGGTTTTGGGGCTAGGGAATTAAAGAGAAAAACATTCACTGCAAACAAATCATCATCATGCTAAGCAATTCTAGTATGATGAAAAGTGGATTTGTGGCAAAATATTTGCTACCTCTGAAGCCTAATGAAAATATTTTTTTAAAAAAAATTAATTATCCAGTAACACCAACAAGAGGAAACACAATGTTAACTCCACGGATTATTTTCTTTGGTGAGAGAAATTAGCAGCTTTTGATCTCATGAACTTAAGGCTTCCATTATGTATCCCTTGTTACCACGCTTTCTCCTCTATTGAGGACAAAACATTTCTAGAGATAAATCTACACAGAGATCTCCAAGGATGTAATTCTATCTCTCTGAACTACTCTGTACTGATGGTACTATATCTTGCCAGCTGCTGGAATTAAGCAGATAAGCTATAGAACTGCATTGTATTTTCACATTTGTTTTCTACAATAGTGAAACCCTTTTTATATATAACTGAAAGTTTTCATATATAAAACAAAATTATTAACAATTGGAAACAAAATTTGAATAAGCCCATGTCCAGCCTATTTAGTGCAGTAGTGATTAGAGTATTGAACCAGGACTGGGAAGGTTGAATTCAAGTCCTACTTGGCTAAATTGGGGCACTTACTTTCTCTCAGACTGTTATCTCACACTGCTTTACTTGGAGAAAAAAAAAACTACCAGAGAAAGCTGAGCATCTACAGGACACAATGTAAGAGTGGTACAGGAACTCCTCAGTAATGATGGCAGTTGGGACCTGAATTTCCATTGCTAAGCAACGTGGTCATAAAGCATGACATCATATGACCATGCTGCTTAGTGATGGCAGTTCTGCTGTTGTTAAGTGATTCTTGCACTCTCATTAATTGCAATATCTTGACCTCATTTGTGAACTCCTGTCAGCTCACCCACAGGCTTTGGTTGTGGAAAGCCACCAGTGAAAGTCACAAATGGCAATCACATGACCATGGGATGATGTGACCTTGTAATTATGAGACAGTTGCTGAGTGCCTAGATTGTGATCATGTGATAGTGAAGAACTGTGACAGCTACAACTACCAGTTGTAAGTACCACTAGTTCAATGCGGTTGTAAGTTTGGTTTTAATGGTTGCTGAACATCATTAAACGAGGACTACACTTATTGGTAACAAAAATGAGAATGCTTACAACGTGGACTTTTGCCAATGTATATTATAAATATATACTAAAAAAAAACGTATATACAAATGGCATACCATAAGTTGATTTTTCTTCAATCATTCCAAGTTTGAAGTTCTGCTCCCTTTAATTGTGAGTCTATTGAATATTTCTTTATGCATTTAAATCAGTACATAAAAACATAAGCAGTGCCTTACTGGATCAGACTCTGGCCCATCAAGTCCAGCAATCTATAAAAAGAGTTGGCCAGCCTACCTCACAAGGAAGTCAATTTGTCTCCCAGCAGATAGCCTTCAGAAGCAGTCATCTTGCCATCAAGGCTAATAGCCATTGATCCCCATGACTTCTATGAATTTGTCCAACTCTTTTTTGAAACCAATCAAGCTGGTACCCAACACTGCATCTCATGGTAGCCATGGATCTTCAAGATAAGCCTTTTATGATATTAACTCTCTGAATTTATAAACCCTAGTTGTTTATAGCCCCAAGATCTTAACTTATTGTTGCTTTCACTATTGCCATTGTTCATGTTATTGCTTGTTTTTCTGTTTAAGAGTAACAATTATTTATTGTAATCATTATTTGAGTATTGAACAGTTTGAGTGGCAGACATTATTCTGCCATAATCCCAGTTCAACAGAACATTCCTCCTATTCTGTATTTAAAATGTACAGTATTTACTGAACAATAGATTTCTTTCCAAGCACTTAGAGCTAGGATTTTCCTCTTTTCTTCTGGTGTCACCAAAGGCCAAACTGAATTAAAATTCTGGATTCTACACAAATGCTATTAATGTAAGAACTGCCATCCTGAGCTGTAGCTTTGCTAGGTTACCTGGGATACTGCATCTCCCACAAAGTGGTAGAGATGGACCCAGAGAAGGTACAAGCTGTGCTCGAAGCCCTCTGTATCAGAAGGAGCTGCAAAGGAGCTGCAAAGCCCCCTGTATCAGAAGGAGCTGCAAAGAGTTGGTTTCTCTAACTTCTACCGGCAGTTCATTCTGACGTTTGCACAGATCAAGCTGCCAATCACCAATCTACTCAAAGCCAAAGGAGAGGGAAATATCCAGGCTGGGGCAACCACTCAAATGGTCCAGCAACTGTTTGCGGCTGAGCCAGTCCTTAAACACCCCAATCCCGACAAACTGTTTGTCATCCAAGCAGATGCCAGTGATGTCACTGTGCATGCCGTCCTCCTCCAAAAGATCAAACAAGGACTCCTACAACCATGTGCCTATACCTCCAAGAAACTCTCTACCACAGAGTGCGGGTGGACAATATGGGAAAAGGAAGCCTACACAGTACAATGGATGTTACTTACCTGGAGACAGGTAAGGGAATAAGGCTCCTTTCGAGGTCTGGACAGATCACAAGAATCTGGAAGCACTGAAGACTCCCTGAAAACTGTCTCCTAAACCAGTGAGGTGAGTGCAATACTTCAATCAGTTCAATTTCATCCTGTGTTACTTGCCGGGAGGAAATAATTTCCTGGCAGATGTACTCTCAAGGCTATGCCAGTATAACAGTACAAGGGAGGAGACTGTAAACTCCATCATCCCTTCCAGTCAAACAGCAGCTCCCACCATCACCAGGGCACAAAACAAAGCTGAGAGCAAGGTAACCGACAATCTTGTTCAACCGCTAAGAGCGTCCCTTACCAGGGAGATTGGTTTGCATGCCACAAAGCTGACTTCACTCTACATAATGGTCTTGCCTGGAGTGGGTCTAAATTCTATGTACCCACAAGCTAGAGGACTTTAGTTTTGCAGCATAGCCACAGTTCCAAAATGGCTGGACACTTTGGATTTGTCAAAACCTTGGTGAGACGCCAATTCTGGTGGCCAAACATGAAATTAGAGTGTTGAACTGGGGAAGGTTGAATTCAAGGCCTATTTGGCTAAATTGGGCCACTTACTTTCTCTTAGACCATCATATTTCACACTGCTATATTTGGAGAAAAGCTATGTCGCCAGTTGCCCTGTGTGTGCATTCATGAAGGGTCACCCCAGGAAACCACAAGGTTTCCTACAATATATAGGTAACCCCAGGGCCTTTTTTCTCATAGAACGCTCAGGGTAGGCAAGGCGGGTTGTATGACATGTGTGAGTTTTGGCACCTTTTTTAAAAAATAAAAATAAAAAAAGCACTGGGTAACCCTATGGCTCCTTGGAAGGAGATTTCTATGGACTTTATTGTGGAACTACCTGACAGCTCAGGGAACACAGTAATATGGGTTTTTTTTACTGACCTCTTCTCCAAACAGGATCACTTCATGGCTTGTCCCAAAATCCCTTCGGCACAGACCCTAGAAAAATTCTTTGTGCAATATATCTACCAGCTCCATGGAGCTCCGACCAGAATAATTTCAGACCGGTGTGTATGTGTGTGTCCAATTTACTTTCCAATTTTGGCAAGAATTTTTAAAGCTCTTGGGTATCTTTATTATTATGTCAATTACCAACAAGACAATTGGTCAGACTTTCTCCTCTTTGCAGAGGTCACTTATAACAATTTATATACACTACCTGTTTCATGCCATTCTGGGTGACCACTGGCAAGGACCCAACAATCTCTCTAAAGCACGTCGCTAGCTGAATGGGAAAAATCCCTGCAAATCACATGGCCAGTTGTCCACAAGGTGCTTGAAAATGCGAGAGACACCCACAAAAAGTACACTGACAAAAAGAGATTGCAGCAAAAGGAATTTAAAGTTTCCACAAAATTCCTGTAATCCAGACAATCCTTGAAGAAACTGAGACCAAAATATGTTGGACCTTTCCCTATCATTAGACTCATCAACCAGTGATGGTGGAATTAAAGCTACCAAACACCCTTCAACGCGTCCATCCTGTTTTCCACTGCAGCCTTTTAAAATCTGCAAACACATCGCCCTTTCATCCTGCAACCAAGCCGCCCCCACCCCTTACACTTATTGAACCAGAACAACACTTTGGGGTCAAAGAGATCCTTGATTCGTGGGCACACAGAGGTAAACTTCAATATTTAATCCTCTGGAAATGTTTCCCACCTTCTGAAATGAGTGGGTTGATACCCAACATGTGTAGTCACCATGCCTGCTCCATAAATTTCATAACTGATACCTTGACAAACGTCACCAGAATCCTAATCTTTCTTTTGTTTCTTTTCTTTCCCTAGGTTTAGCCCTTTTTTCAAGGGGGCAGAATGTCAGAACTGCCATCTTGAGCTGCAGCTTTGCTTTGCTAAATGCCAGCCTGCCATAGATTATGGGGGGAGGGAGCTGCCGGGAAGAGGAAAACCGAAACTACTTGTCATGCCTTCCCAAGACCTCTGCTCATCGTACCAAGGCCAGAGATCCGGGAGGGGAATGCAATGTCTCACTATCTAGCCCACAGACACAATTCCTTTGAATGTGACTGGACAATAGGAAGATAATGGGGGAGGAACAGGAAAGGGAAAGTTAACTAGGGAAGCTTTGCACGCAAATGTTTTACAGTTGCTTCACTGTAATCCACTTGGCTTTTAGTAAAAGTATATCTTTCACTACAAATGGAGCTGAGGGTCTTTCTTGTTAAGGCACCAAGTTGGGACAGGCCTGAGAATGAACTCAGAAGTCCATTTCTTATGGATAAGTAAATTTCAAACAATGGCTGTAAGAATAAGGTGTTTATTTGTCACTGATGATCTGAGGGGATAGGTTACGGCATAAAATAGACTAATATTAGAATAATTTGGTGCACTAACTAGATGAGAAATGTGCCTAAAGTGATTCAGAATTTGTTTCAATACACAAAGTTTCTTTTGAAGGAAAGGAAGTTGAAATTGGCTCATGTTAGGCTAGAATATGAATCAGAAATTTCATTTCCTTTTCTCTTGAGAATATATTTGACACATGTTGCCATGAAATGTCTAGGACTGTCATGCATAAGATTGTCATGTGACTTTCTAAATATAACTAAACATTCTCTTGATTTTCAGAGCTATATCAGACAGAACTCCAAATTTCATTTACCGAAGGCATTTTGTATTTATTTTGTACTCTCAATACTCTGAAACTGCATCAGTTTGGGAATGTGCTTTATATCCCTTTTCACTTACCAGATGGCAAACGCCATTGTCCAAGCTTTCGTTGAGGTTTACCCCCGTCACCAGAATCTTGTCGATATCCACCTCTGTCAGAAAGCGTGGGGCTAAGCAGCTGCTGTTCATTACTTGTCTGAATAGAATGAGAGAGAAAAGGAATTAAAACCTGAAAACAACAAAAAGGACCTTTGATTTTTGGCCCTTGTTTCACAAATTTTGCAATTGAAATTTTGTATAGATCATTCTGTTCAGCCCCGTGTATTTTCTTTTTGTTAATTTTTTTAAAAGCCACATTCATTATCATTGGCATATATTGGCATATTTGAATGCAGATTTCTCAAATGTATGTGTGTGCATATCTGTTAATAATGTTTTCTATGCATGTTTTTTCATATGTAATTTTTCCAATCCATTTTGACACATTTCACCCAGATACAAACATCCATATTTAGACTCTAAATGTTGCTCTCTCATTTAGATACTAATAGAATCTGTTGTGATAGATCAAGCCATTTTATTCCCATTAATATCTGTGTTAAGTTTCTTTTACATCCCTGGCTACAACGTATTGACAATATTATTTATTGCCACATTTATTTCTAGAAACATTTTAGGAAAATGTATTCCAGAATGTTATGGGATTCAATGTGTTATTCCAAAATATAAAACACTGGTCACAGAAAAAATAAAGGTTGTTTATATCTGAGGGTTATAATACTCCCCTGTGCTTAAATGGATCACAGAAATTATGTATTTTAGGCCTCATAAAATTGAACATAAAAATTATATTAAACATAAGAGAATGGAAAAGTAAAAGAAAGAAAAAGAAAAAATAAAGAAAGAAAAGCAAGTTTCCATGGCCAGCAAACAGTATGTGTCCTTTGCACGCATTTTTGGGGCAGGAATGAATGGAAAGGTCTTTTACTGAGGTACTTTAGATCTGGTAGGTATCTACCAAATGCATGTTGCTCAGATGCAGTTGAATGTTTTCTCATATGTTGTGTACTAGGCCATTTTAGGGTGTGGCTTCAAGTCAATATTGATTCCTGGCAAGTTTCTGGACAAGTCCCTGCAGTTTTCTTGGCAATATTTTGGAAGTGAGAATGAGGGCTGAGAGAGAGTGACTGGGCCAAAATCATCCAGCTGGCTTCATGTCTACAGTGGGCCTAGAACTCATGGCCTCCCAGATGCTAGACTGATGCCTTAATCACTACACCAAACTGGCTCCCTTTCTGGGTTTTTGAGAACAACAGTAGGGATGAACCCCTACCTCAGGCTGTGCACTGTTATCCTGGTTATTAGCATTCATATCTTCACTTGGCTGTGTTGTCTCAATGCTTGGTGGATTTAGGAAACGGTTTAACTCCTGCTGTTGACTCTCTCGGAGGCTGTGGATAATACTGCATGACTGCTGTTGTTTCTAGGAAAATAAGACACACATGATATATTTTGTTTTCTTTAAAAGTACTTTTCAAAAACCCTTGGCAAGCTTAAGAAATACTGTATAGAAGGGTAATTAATGGTGATGGTAGATGGATGGGATCAAAGAGTTATGGCTTATCATTGGTGACAGACTGAAATGATAAGCATTTCTCCACACAGTCACTAGGGTCTGAGCCTGACTTGATGAAATAAAATCAATCAAAGTACTTTTCAAAAATTAGGATTCTCTTTAAAATGATTTTTCCAATTGTATTGTTTTTATAACGTACACATACTTTATTTCTGTTTTCAAGTGACTATCCCAAAAAGTTATTTAAAGCAAAATAATAAAAAAGATGTTTTCCAAATATCATCTAGAGACTATTGAAGTATATTAGCTTCAATAATTTTTAAATTAGACAGTCACTCACAACTCCTGAAGGCAATGTAGAAGTATATTTTTTCTCACATTCTAGGAATCCAAATTCATTTCAAGCTTTCTTATATATATATTTAAAATGTAAAAGGTTTATAGGGGCAAAATCAACTCTTGTGTACAAAGTGCTCTATAATCATCACCAATATTGTTATCTTCCATTTTTTGTTGTTTTTCTAAATGTTTTCAATTGTGAGAAGAGAGAAGGAATTAACAAGAAAAGATGGCAAGGCTCATGTCATGTTTTCACATGGCTTGCACTGAAGATCTCACAGAATCTTATTGGTTATTAAGGCAAGACTCCTGCAAAATGCAGGGTCGGGAGTAATAATAAGATTAATAAATATATCAATATTTATCTGAAATATACATCTCTGTTGTTTCCACTCACTTGTTCAAGTCCTATCTTCTGACTTTTAAAATAGCATTTAAAAGTGTATTAATAACACAATAATGTTAAACTTACTGCTCTAATGCGCTTCAAGCATTTTTTCAACCACATGCGTATTGTCTGCTTGGCAACTTCTTCCTCGATGGTGTACTCTAGTTGTTCCCTAGCAAGGAGTTCTTCCAGCTGAAGACTTTTTCTGATGTCAACCGATCTATATGACAGCATGCTAGAAGAAACGGATATTAGTAAATATAGATTTTTTAAAAAGGAAAATGACTCTATGTCAAAACCATATAGTTCCTTTGGAATGTTTATTTGGCTTGTAAAATGATGCTTAATGTCTCTGTGTCCATGGATAATTACATGGTGAGTGTGTTGAAGTAATTATACATTACAAGGAAATTTGTGATCAGAGCAGTTGGTTGATTAGGTTGGTGAAGATCCAGTTAAGATAACTGCTTCCATGACTGTGTCAAAGTAATGATTTAAAAGCTAACAAGCTGATGTAATGTGAGATGTATGATGTAATGATGGGAATGACTCAGCAGGGTCAATGTCCCTTTAAAAGCTTTGTATAAAAGGGAAGGATCAGCAGATGCATGCTCTCTGTTCCGTTTCCTGCTGTAACTGCTTTGTGTTGGAGCCTGTTATATTAACGTGTATGTATATTGTTCCTGATGTATGATATTGTAGATAGTGTAAGATAAACCACCATTTAATATAGACCACTGTTTACTGTATTTACTCCTGCGTTATCTCAGCGCAATAAGACTGTGCATGCTCTGACAGACTGTTTATAGCTCTAACCATGTGCACTAACAAAAACTTTGTTTCTGTTAAAGTTTTCATTCTTACCTCGATTCATAATATGAAAGTTGCACTTTTTTCAGTACATGATTAAATACAGTAACGAGAAAAAGCAATTAAAATATGTGTTTTATTAATAAATAAATTTAATAGATCCCTAAATGAAAAAGGGTTTTATAAACTGTGTTTGCATCTTTAGCCTGATAAGATGGAATGAAACCCTAACTGGTGTAGCCCTATCTCCTTGGTTAAGCTTCCCTGAACTGCAGCTTGTGAGATAATTCTGAGATACAGGTTTGCAGCCCAGCTTTGTTGCTCAGTATACCTCAATACATCATGGAATGTTACATCTCCACCATTATGCAATCTCTCCATTTCATAGCACATATGCTTGAACAGAAGTTTGTCCTTATCCAGATCTACCTCCAGTCTTCCACGCAATAGCCTCAACAAAAACTTGACTCGGAAGGTAGGAATTGCTCCCTGGAAAGAAAGTCACAATTAGAAAATACTCACACCTGTAAAGAGCTTTATATTTGTCTTTTATTCTTCAAATAAATGATTTAGTAACATTGACATTTTTTGCCAGTCTTTTGCTATTATAATTACAATGAGGTGCCTGGGCAACAAGGAGGCTGAGGTGAGTTGCTGCAGCAGCAATTCAGGGGCTGAAATACGTGCCAATCTGAGTTCTGCAGCTGTCATAGAGCCTGCCACTCTGGGGAATTCTCTCCCTAAGGTAAAAGGTATCTGGTTGCCTGGATGAGAGATAGAAAGGGCAGGAGTGACATTTAGAATGGCTCAGTTTGTAGATGTGAGTTAGGGTGTTGTTTATGTGGAACAGGAGGTATATGTGCTGGGGTAGGGTAATGGCAGCTGGCTGTCTAAAATTAAGCAGTGTGGTATTGCAGAAGAGACCTGAAAGAGCCAGTTCAGCCAGCTGGTTGAAAATTTATATTGTGACCTGGCTGTCAGATGGAGCTCTCTAAGCTGGGATAGTGATGAGCCAGGGAAAATTGGACTGTTGTGGGAGAGGTGGAAGGGCCAGGCAGTAACATCATGTTGGTGATAGCAGCAGGAGATAAGGTGAGAGAGATGGGTCGTTCTCAAAGAAGACTGCCTTGATGTGTCATATTGTGTTATAGTTCATATTATGGACCTGGATCGGAGGGCCAACCTGGCATGAAACTGGATGGGGAAGCAACAAAAGTTGACACAGACTTTTCCCAAGGATTTAACATTCCATTTTTACTTTAATTAATTGCTACATTTTTAGCAATTGATTAGCAGAGCAGTAAGTCAATGAAACTTATAGTATTCAAGAGAAATTTCTTACCTCCCTTTTGTCATCAACCATATTCCATATAATCTGAAAATGTCTAAGATCATTATAACTTAAGAGCTGGTCTTCTTCAGTGGAATAAAATAAAGAGAAGTTTTCCACAATTATAGCTGTATAAGATAGAAACATAAAAAAGTAAGGGCTTCCCAAGTTATAAGCATTTATAATTGAAAATAACTTAGATTTGTAAAATCATAAAAGGATTTTGTCATGTGTAGGAGAAGGAGAGGCAGAGCCTGGTGGCAGAATCAAGAGAGGAATCAGGCTGGAATCATTATGTTCCCACAAGGAATCTAAGTCCAGCCCCTCTTGAATTCCATTGACTTTTATCTACACCAATTTAGTGCTGACCTTAGTTGACTAGATTCTTGTGTATAGGCATGAGCAAGAAATCAGTGGAATTGATTCTTCGAGTCTGACAACTGATGTATAAATGTATCATTTTAATATCATAATAGACACCCACATTAAAAAAACACAATTCTCTGCTGTCTTCATTAGAAGCTGAATAAGCTATAAAGCAGCCTGGAACCATAATGTGCTTATTTTTTCAACTCTGCATATAAGATGTTTAAATAAAGGAAATAACAAACCTTGTGCATAACGAAGGCAGCAAAAAAAAATAACCCTGCAACATTTTGAAAAATCTGACATTTATTAAAGCAAACATACTGTAGATAATTGTTTTTTCTCCTGCCTGGTCATATGTTCTCAAAACTAATCTGCTCACCATGGAATATGAATGGGATTGAAGCAAGCAGTCAATAAAATTGGAGTTAAAAACTAAGAACACTAATTTCCTTCTGATAACTGTCTTTCTGTCTTTCTGATCCACACTTAATCCATAAACAGGTTGTCATAGTTCCAACAGATGAAACTCTTCAAAAGAACTTCCTTAAGTTCTTTACCTTAAAGGATCTTTTATTCGAGTAGCATAATATCGGCACTACACAATCGAAGCCAAAAACTGAATTACCCTCCCCTGGGCACATAGTATCAAAGCACAATTCCCTCCTCCAATTAACTGTCATAAATCACATTCCCCAATTAGCTTGAAGCGGGCTTCCTCTCCAGCTCTCCAATTCTTTATCAGCTCTGGGCTCAATAACCTTGATTCTCACGCTACGGTTAGTGTTGTTATGTCTAGCTGGACTCTCATTCACATTCCCCCTCCAAGGATCATCTAACTCTAAAAGTGAAAGGGAAAAGATGGCTACATTTCCATCTGTTGTCAATGCAAAAACATCCAATGTTAGCAGCGTTGACACAGGTTTTTTTTTTTTGAGGAATCTGAACCAAACGTCTACATAGGATATTTGAGATCAGATGGATGGCTACATGGAAAACTCAAAGATCATATATAGTCTGAGGTTGTTCATGTTGCTTTAAACATTCATGTGAGTATTTTAGACAATGTATGGTAAGAGCCAAAAGTGAGATTCTGCTCCACTTGCTTCTTAGGTGAGGAAAGCAGTTCGGTGGTAGCATCTTCCATGTGTGTTTCCTGAGACTCTTCAGATCAGACACAGAATCTTGGATATAGAACTCATTTTTGTTTTAAAGAGTTCTGAAACTCTGGCAAGCCTTATGGGATGTTTACTAATTTTATTTTGGATGGCATAATTGATTGCACTTACTAAACCATAACTAATTGTTTTTATTTTATGGTTTGTAATCAGATTATTTAAATATTATTTCATTTTTTCACTAATAATTATGAGGGCTGTCAGGATTGAACAGTCAATTATAAATATATAAAATTAATGCATGTGGCGGTTTGATCATACATAGAGAAGAACCAGTTAAATCAGTAGTATTTGTTAATTCTGACTGACTGAAACATTTGAGTTAATGGCTATTTTTAAGTATGACTAGGTCCTGATCAAATCCATAATAGAGTTAAAACACAGTGAAAACTTTATTGCTGTGTTTCATGACTAAAACTTACCCACAAGTAAATTCAGCATTATGTATGCAATGATGACATAAAATGAACAGAAATACATAAGAGCACCGGCATAATTCCCACAATCTGTTTTCCAGTATGTTCTGTTATCTGGAGTACAAAAAGGAGGTTGAACCTGCATGAAACAAAAAGCTATATTACATGTAATAGGGGTACAAAAGTAGATATGTCTCTGTCTCTGTCTCTGTCTCTCTCACACACATACACACACAGTATTTTGAACTTCAGCAGAATGGATCAACTTCCTCCTTTCTCTGATGCTTTCCACCCATGTTGTTTTTTTTCCAACCAAGCATTCTCTTAACATCAGAATCAAAAATATTGTGGGTGTATTGGGTATTTACAGTATATGTGACAGTCACCATGAAATGTAGCAGCTCAATCGTTGTACTGCTTATACAACACAATCTCTTTTTTATTTATACTAAAAGACTACACCATTTTCCCCTACAACCAAAGAGAAAAGATCTTCTGAATTGACAAGAGAGGAAGATGGATCATATAATTCAAAATGCTGTTTCCAATAATGACCAAATATTTCTAGAGAATTGCCAACTTCAATTGTTTGGACTGCATATTTGCATTTATATTTTTAGTTCTATTCAGCTAACCTTCATAAACAGATATATTCTTTGGACGCAGAATATAACCCTTTTTATACAACACCCATTTAAAATGCTTCCTAACTTAGAGTCCATCACCATATCATGACAATGGGATAATTTGGGGGGAGAGAAGGGAGAGTTCTTTCACAGTATTTCTCACTGACTGCTTCAAAGATCCGGCAAAAAAAGAACAGTTCTTTATCATTGTTAATACATTCCACAGAACAGAATTGTTAATACATTCTCTAGAACTGAAAACCTGTCATCTTTCATTTTAATAAATACAATAAAACTGCATGGACCTAGCTGGGCACATAACACAAATATTTGCTAATTTTTTTGCCAAGTACTTATACATTTATTTCTATAGCATTTTCAAGAGTCAATAAATCAAAGTTTGGGTGAAGGATCAGATTTTTTAAAATAAAATGTAAGGTATTTTTAAGATGCAAAGCTTCTGCTGGCTAAAATGATACAGGATTTTAATCAGTCAATTTACCATGCAGTCATGCATTATCTTGTTCCAGTCTTCTCCAGTGACTATTCTGAAGAGTACAGTAATGGCCTTACCAGCTGATGAAAAGTTGGCATGCCTGTTTTTAACAAATAAAAATAATTATTCAATATTTCACCACTAAGAACATAATCAACTAATCCTTTCGGGTATTTGGGTAATTCCCCCCTCCCTACCCTAATTCCCCCCTTCCTACCCTAATTCCCCCCTCCCTACCCAGGCTAGCTTATACAAGTCTAGTCTGCTACGGGACCTGAGTTGAATGATAACATGGTATATTTTCCCCAATCTGCACAGAAAAGCACTGCTGTGGTATTTGAATGAGACTCCCTAGTTGGAAGTAAGGTTGTGTTTACGATATTTAGAGCAGCAGGATAGTTTGGATTGTTCAGAACTAGCTGTGTTACATACACCTTTCTGTCACCTGACAGCGTAACCAGCACTGCCCTGAAAATTGCTTGAATATGTCTCTTCATGGGGTTGTTTTGGATGTTAAGCTTGAACCCAGACTAGCTATTATTCATAATAGCTCCTGTTGTTTCCCTGGCTTGCAGGTTCTGCAAATACTCAAGCAGTCATTGCAGAGTGGATTCATGTATACTTGAAATGCCATATAAGCATTACTTTGATATTTGATGCTGGACTTTCTGAGACTGTCAGTCACAGATCAATAGGGCTGCCTCTCTGGTAATGTAACAATAGAGGCATCCATCAAAGCAAGGGTGCTCTAAAACGAGATCACAGTTATCAAAAACTTTCAGATGAAGTGACAGAAATCATACCTGTTAATGTTCTCTCCATATTTCACAGTTCCAAACAAAACTACTCCAGCAAAAGCATAGCAAAGCAACAGTAGGAACATTCCTACAATGATGAAAAAGCTTTTGTACATGCTGACAACTACTGTCAGCAGCAGCATCTTCAGAGTCACCTGGAAAGCAGTGGGAAAGAAGGCTTGGTATAAGACATGGGTCAAAATGGAAATGTGCTGAAATTGAAGTGGACTGTTTCAACCTCATTGGGATTGTTCCAAGAACGCTCTAATTTTGCTAGAACCTCTGTAACAATTCCAGGCATTGTTTCAAGCCAACAGAATTGACACAGATTCAGAACATTGTTTTGTAAATTTGGAACTGTTCATTTTAAACTGAAAACATTTTAATTCAACAAAATAATTATATAGTGAGGTGGTTAGAATTTGTGTTGGAATGTTATTGGTAAAGGTTTTGTTAATTTATTGCTGTAGATGTTTAAAAGTTGTGTGTTGATATTTATTTTTAAGCTCTTACTATGGTATGCAAACATTCATACACTCATTCATACTATGGAGGTTTTTTGTTGTAAGCTTCCATCTGTATGAAAACTAAACAATTTTGCATACTTCTAATTCTGATTGTGTCAGCTGTTCCCTTTTCACTGTTCTTTACTTCTAGGCTATAACAAAGAATTGGTTTAAACCAGTAAGAGCCTCAATTCAGTAAAAAAAAAAACCACAGTCCAACTTATTCAATGTGTAATTAGTATAAGCATGGGGAAAAAATCCTCATGTGTACTTACGTGCTTTCCACAGATTGAAAAAAACCTGAACACAATAACGCATGCCCCCATCATATACGTATAGGCATTCTGAAACACAAAGTATCAGTATTTGAAGAGTTACTCAGGACTGATTATTAAATGCAGCTCAGGATTGTACTTTTGCGATAACCAGTATAGCTTTAATACAATATATTGAATGACTGAGTGCATAGTTCTTGATGTAAAAAGACTCACTATTTCAATATTCAGGTGTTATTACATGGAAATAGATAGAAATAGCTTCATATATATATATACAGTATATCTGATATATATAGTATACAGTATATATAGTATATCTGAAGAATAGAGGTCTTGGTGTAAACCAGTAGTCAGACCCATTACAATCTGCAATACCCAGTCCAGAATTGTAAGCCAAAGATAATGAGAAAAATGAGGGGCACAGGAACAAGGTCTAGCAATGGAGAAGTGTTTCCAAAGAGAAGGATACTCTTAAATAACTGGAGTTTGAACCCTTATCTAATTAGAGGATTCCGAGACTGAAGGAATATTCAGTCAAGTAACATTCCATTCCATGTCTGAGTACAGTTTATAAACAGATGTGCTACCACAATAACAACTAAGCCCAATGCAAATATTTAGTGAACTGTGTTAACTTCCTGGAAGAATTCTTTGAAAACTGCATCCCATTAATTCTAGTTTAAACCATTTGTAGCTGCCTGAGTAAACTCAGTTATAATATTAATTGTAATTACAAAAAATTCTGTCTTTTCAGGAATGACCATAACAAGACAAGATCAAGCCTCAATGAATTATACATTTTGCAGATTTGCAAAAAGAGGAAAACCATCCTACATACTTTGAATAGACAATGTGGTTCTTGAAACTTACAGTTATGGCAAAGTGGAGAATCACCCATATGACACCTAATGATGTCACCAAGAGATCATAACGATTTCTTCTACTCTGCCAAAATCCAGCAGGTGACATGGCAGTAATTTTCATTGTAACCTTGCAAAAATAAATGTGTATGTAAGAGCTTCTCTTTGTATAATATTGAATGATTCCTCAAAGTTATGTTTTAATAATATTCAAATGAATAATTATTGAAAATTAATTTAACTATTGGATTAAAATATGTATGAGCAAAAACAAACCTGATATACAAGAAAATGTTACAACATATACAGTACATATTTTACTAGTGTTTGGTTATAATTATTAATGCAGAAAAAGAAACCTATTTTAATGTTTGATCGATCACTTTATATCTAATCACCATATTTTTTTTACATGAACACAAGAAATTGGCAAAGCCTCTCCTTTTGCTGTTCATTATGATTTTAATTAACTTAACTCTATGGTGTTTTTGTCACCATCTATTAACACGGACCAAAGCTGATACAGGAACAGTGATTAGATCCCCATATTTAGATATTTTAGATAAACCTTATGAGTAAGGTACTAATACTTCTAAAATCCTACATTCAAATCCAAAAACCTAGACTTCATTTGCTTGTAAAAGCACCTCCTTTTTTCTTGGATTGTGTGTCATGAACAGCAGAATGGTTACAGCTTCAGACAGGCAGTCCTGAAAATTATAGCTAATCTGTATACCTTTCAGATCGGTTTCAGATCAGGACATGGTATTGAGATGGCATTGATGATGCTCGCAGATGACCTCTGGTGGAGCTGGGATGGGGGTAATGCATCTCCTTGATCTTAATGAATGTTGATACTATGGTCAATGACATCCTTTTGTACTGCTCACAAGGATTAGGAGTGGGAGATATGGTGTTAAGGCAGTGGTTCCCCTTTCACTGTGATCAGGTCCAGGAACAGCTTAAGTTCAACCTTGACAAGCTGAATGGTTATGGGTATTTGGACAACCCAGTACAAAAATATTCCATTTTTAGTTTAGTAGTGTGCAATTTGAAGACTACTTGGATTCACAACTCTTGAATAGGACCACTTTCATACAAATTCATCTAGTGTATCAATTGCACCAAAATGCCTTTAAGACAGTAACTTACCACTGCAATGCACTCTATATGGGACTGCCCTTGAAGACTATTTAGAAGCTGTAGCTGGCCCAGGATCAGAAGCATGGGCAGTTATGGGCATGCCACGGTATGGCCATATAACATAACGTGTCTGCTAAGAATGTTACTAGTAGGCACTGGTTAACCAACAGGCTTCCAGATATAATTCAGGATGCTAATGATCACTTATAGAACTTTTCATGAGTTATCTGAGGGACTGCTTATCTTCTCTCCTGTGTGGTCTGGCAAAGTGGACAGTGCCATTTGATGGGATCAAGAAAGTGAGCCTTCCCTGTTATAGTGCCTATCCTCTGGAATGATATTCCCTCAGAGATTCATAGTATAAAATCCTTACTCTTACCTTATTTAAGACAGCCCTTAAAACCTGGCTTTTCCCTGGCCTTGAGTTAGAGTAGAGGTGGACTCCTTATGAGGACAACTGGCTTAATAAAATCAGTGTTATGCTTCTAGACATCTGCTTTTTTATACATTTTGCATTGTATTGTTTTAAATTTATATTATATGCCACCTGGAGTCATAATGGACTCAAGTGAGTTATAGATGTAATTAATAAATAGTATCTATATTATCTTCTAATATTGTAATGTACAATAAATGACACAAGGCAAATCTAATCTGAACTTATTTATAGAAATATTGAAATATATTACCTCTAGAACAAATATGAAGGTGAAGACCACTGACATTGCAGCTAATGGACCAGTTACTGGATCTTGATCATCCCACTTATGCAAAAGAAAAAAAATAGTTTATGAAAAAATATCTCATTTTCTTTTCCGTATAAAATTCTACCACAATTGTTCCTGTTTATTATAAATACAGCGATTTTCTCCTATTTATGCTCATTTGTAAGTAGTTAATAAAGCACCTTAAAAGTACCTTAACAGATAATAGCACAGATTGGGCCAATACAAGAACTGCAATGGTTCTCTTGAAAAATGGGTGCTGGGTTATGTCATACATTTTAGCTCGGAATCCATCATTATCTGAAAAAACAAAAACAAAATAAAAGCAAACGTTTATATAGGGCACAATTTGCAATGACTTCTATGATTTTTTTTTTTGCCTCAGTGCAGCTGTTAGTTGTGGGCACATAATTAGTCAACACAGTATAATATTGTTACTTTCACGTGTAAGCAAAGTAGATAGATTTGAGCCCTACAAAGCTGGCTTCAGAAAAAGTTAAGGAACATGAGACATTATTTCTGATGAATGCTGGTTAATTAATAAAGCCAAAGAATAACACAAAAAAGAATTAATTGATCACAGAAAGCATTTGATTGTGTTGGCCATACCAAGATGTAGAATGTCCTTAGGAAAATAGAAAGAATAACTTTCTCCTCATGTAGAGCTTACACATGTGACAGGATGTCACAATCCAGACAGAAAATGGCAAAACAGATCAGCTCCAGGATGACAAAGGAGTGAGATAAGGCTATATGAGAACCATAGTGGCACAGTGGTTAGAACAATGTATTGCAGGCTAACTTTGCTAACATTGCCAGGAGTTTGATTACTTTGATCCCGACCGGCTCAAGGTTGACTCAGCCTTCCATCCTTCCGAGATTGGTAAAATGAGGACCCAGATTGTTGGGGGTACTATGCTGACTCTGTAAACTGCTTAGAGAAGGCTGTAAAGCACTGTGAAGTAGTATATAATCTAAGTGCTATTGCTATTGCTATATACTCGCTTATTTATTCAGTCTATATGCTGAGTATATATTGAAGCAGGCCTGAATGCAATGAGTGTAGTTTTAAAACTGAAGGAAACACTTCCATACCTTGAGCTGTACTGATGAAATTACTAGGATACCTGAAAATGCAAAGGATCTACAAATTCTAGTTATGAAAGTCAAGGAGCACAATGAAAAAAAGAGAAAGTAAGTTTAAATGCAAAGAATAACGATAACAATAGTCAACCTTAAAACTGACAATGAAGTGGTAGGTAATTTCTGCCTTTTAGGATTAACTATCAGTAAAATAACTAGCTGTCCAGAGATACACTGTAGACTAGCACTTGGTAGGATAGTAATGAAGGCCTTGGAAAAGATATTTAGATACTGTGATATATCTATACCTTCAAGATCTGAAACATGCAGGCAATAGTTTTCTTTATGACATTCTATGGAAATGAAAGATGGACTTGAAGAAGCAGGATAGAAAGAATATGGATGCTTTTGAACTCTGGAGTTAGAGAAGACTCCTGAGACTATCATAGAACACAGAAGATAGAATAATAGGATGGAAGGTACCCTGGAGGTCTTCTAGTCCAGTGGTTCTCAACCTTTTTAATGCCGCGACCCCCAACCGGTCGTAAATCGAGGACTAAACTGGTCGTAAGTCGAGGACTAAACCGGCCGTAAGTCGAGGACTACCCAACCGGTCGTAAGTTGAGGACTTTCCCTGCCCGGGAGCGCCGCGCATGCGTGGTTCCGCCCCCTGCGCCGGCCGAGGTGTAGCTGGCAAGCGGCAGAGACGGAGCAGGCCGACCACCAGCTGGCCCAGCCCAAGGGAGGTAAGGCACCCTCCGGAAAAGGGAAAAAAAATGGGGGACAAAAAAATGGGGGACAGCCTTGCTTGGCGACCCCCGTGAAATGGTCGATCGACCCCAAATGGGGTCGCGACCCATAGATTGAGAACCGCTGTTCTAGTCCAACCTGCTGCCCATGGCAGGACATCCTATATCATTCTAGACTCTCTTTGGGCTTGATGGGATGGATGCACATGATCATAGAAAGAATAACAAACGACTAGAACAGAATGTCTATGGAGATTCTCAGTCATCCAGGTCATGGTTGCCCCAAAGGTGCTTTTTCAAAAGCCAACTGGACATTTCCTTGAAGACATTTCTTTGAAGACATTTAGCTTCTCATCTGAGAAGCTTCTTCAGAACTGAAGACACTTCTTGGATGGGAAGCGAAATGTCTTCAAGGAAAAACAAAGTTTGGTTGCCTTTTGAAAAAGCATCTTTGGGATAACAGAACAGAATAATAAAGTTGGAAGGGATCCCAGTCCTCCAGTTCAACCCCCTGCTTAAGCAAGAGATCCTATACCATTTCAGACAAATGGCTGTCCAATTTCTTCCTAAACCCTTCAGTCATGGATCACCCATAATTTCTGGAGGCAAGCAATTCCACTGGTTAATTGTTCTCACTGTCAGGAAATTTAGTTCTTCCCTCCTTGAATAGTTTTCATCCATTGCTTCTTGTCCTGCCTTCAGGTGCTTTGGAGAATAGGGTGACCACCCTCTTCTTTGTGGCAGCCCTTCAAACATTGGAACACTGCTATCATGTCAACAAAAATGGATCATAGAACAAATTAATCTAGAGTTCTCAATCCAAACAGAAATGATAAGGCTCAAATTATAATATTTGGACACGTTATGTGAAGATCCTGTTTCCTTGAGAAGTCTATAATGATGGGAAAGATGGTAGGAAAGAGAATAAGATGGCCAGCAACAATATGAATGATTCAGTTATAATGGTGATGAGTGCACTGCTGGAAAACCTGAAGGATCATTTTGGGGATGAATCATCCTGAAGGTTGCTAAGACTCAACTTCAAGTTGACGGCACATAGTGACTTAAACATTTGATCAGTATGCATTATCGCTTAGTGGTTTCATTATCTCTTGAATCTGAGTTTTAAAAATCTAGATACCTGGGCGTGGTGGGAGGTGAAGAGGCTGTGCTATCTTTAATCTGCTCTTCAGATCTTCCCATCGCCTCTGGTCAACTGTTAGTAGAGCTGTTCCCTAAAACAACAGGAACCATTACCACCAAAATGTATTTGCTTATTTCTTATCATATTCATTATTGGGATGAATAATCATTAGGGATTCTTTCAACTAGGGAACAGTGCTCTATTTTACTTCTGTTTTAGGGGTTGTTTTCTAATTCCAATGTGTGTGTGTGTGTGTGTGTGTGTGTGTGTGTGTGTGTGCTTTGTCCATTTTTTAAGTTAAGAATCTTACTGAAAATTTGGTAAGTCATATCCAGGTTGCATATGTGGTAAGAACAACCAGAGGGGGAAAATGCTTATAGCAAGACTTAGTAACTCCATTACTATAAATTAATCCTGTAAATACTTAGGTATGCGATACATTTACATGTGATGCAAAAATAATTTCATAATTAAAAAATATTCCTGCTGTTTAATATAAACACAATTATACGTTAGCACAGCAATATTATCTGATTACACATGAAAACATTTAAAAGTTACACAATATAAATATGATTACTATAGAAAAATAGAAAATCTGCAGTGTTACCTTATTTTCATTGAAATTAGCAATGACAACTCCAACAAAAAGGGTAAGTCCAATCATGCAGCCCAGGAATACAAAAACATGAATGTAGATGCCATGAATCTGCAACATAAAAATTTATCAATATTACACTAATTTCTTATTAATAAGAATTAATAGGAAAAAAATCTGACAAGTCTGACAAATTTGAGGAAAGTACTTACTGGACCCACACGATGAATGATGACGTCTCTGACTTCTACCCACCCCTTTAATGACAGGACTTCAAATAATGCCAACATTGCATTACCAACATTGTCAAAGTTAAAGTTTCGAGGGTTAGCCCTGCAATACAACACAGAGATGAGGAGTAAAAAAATGTTGTTTGCCAACAAGATAGCCTAAAACATTGCCAGGTTAGTAACCTGTTACTCCCTGACGTGATTCTCTTGTTCTAGCCTCTCCTGAATTTCCCTCCATGATATTGATCTTTTGTACTCCTTAATTCTGAAAAAGAGTTTTTTTTTGGGGGGGGGATGTTTGATGGAAAGAAACTGACAAATGGCAACTCAAGAGAATTAAGCAATGCAACTAATCAATTGCTCTTTTGTTATTTACCCTACAATAATAATCTCTAGATATATTGTCTTTTGGACAGAAGGCACATTCCAATGTGGCTGTTGAATTTAAAGATTTTGAGACTGGAAATTATCATTCCATTGGATTAATCTACTGGAGTAATTCTATTAATCAACTCTAACAATAAATCTATATTTAAGGCCAAAAAACACATTACTTACCAGACTCGAGGCACCCAAAATCCAGGCTTTTTTTCACCAGGTCTTAGCTTCAAATTCAGATTTTTCGAAACACTTACATTTATTCGGAATATACCATGGCAATCTTCCTGTCAGAAATATAACATCACATTTTGTATAGAAACCAACATGCTTTGTTTTAATATATCTCAAAAGCATACTGCAAACAAACAAGAGTTATGCCTCAGTTTAGGGAATCTGCAATTTATGTTCAGGAATGCAGAGAAGCTAATCTATGCATGAAGAAGACAGAACTTATGGTGATAAATTCTTTCCCAGACTTTAAGCAATATTTTCCTTGACTGAGACCACACACATATTGTGAACAACATCAGATTTACAGTACCAGCGATCTGCTTGGACAGCTGGAGGAGTAAGTCTGGATTCTGGAACTCTTTCAGCTAAACTGTTCCCTCTCAATGCCTGAATTCTTACATGTTGGGAAAGGCACAATTATTGGATTTTACTGTTCTCACTAAGCTAAATACTGAACCTCATCAGTTACATAGCTGATCCTTGCTTCTATTGATCACATTTTGTGATAATTTATTATTTGAAAGTAGTTTGATGTATACACGTATGTTTATGCTTAGATAAGCATATATGGTAGAAACCATTGTGAGAGGGCAATACTCTAAAAGGGAGTCCAGAAGTATTTTTAAACAAATGATACAGAGGGAAATGACTTGTCTTAACAGAACATATACTTTCAGTTCTATGCCTTTTTCAGTGTTTCTACATAATATCACCATAAATTAAGCCTCATCAGCTGATGAAAATGTGTGAAAGAAGAAGGAGGAATTTATCTAAGTACATAAAACTTGCTCTTACTCTTGCAATTATATGGGGATCATTGCACTTAGCCAGTTTCCCAGCAAAAAGTTGAACTCCAAAGCTTGCAAAAACAAGCATTAATGTCAATAAAAGGATTGAAACCTGAAAAAAAAATAAGAAAAAAGTATTTTTCTCTTATATTTTCTATAACAATAATTATTATGCAATGACTTTCATTACAGAACTGCAAGGAAGAACCGATTACTATAACAGTGTTTTTAGGATGGCAGCCAAGTAGTTTCTTCTGTTCATGTTTTTTTCATCCTTCTTTTCATATACACTAGGAAGTAAGCTTACTATAATTAAATTTACTCCCCATCCTGTTCAAATAACTTGCTATATATTTCATGCATTCAAGCATGTGCACAATCAAAAATGTCCTAATGGACTGGCCAATTTATTCTGCCAGTCATAGCAATCAGATTTATCTATAACTCTTTAAAGGAAACCCATATGCTTATATCAAACCATGCCACTCACACATAGCAAAGTACAAAGTTTACTTTTAACACTTGCTAAAATTTGGTATTCAGAACTTGGGAAAACAATGAAATAACAGCCCATTACATTTCTTTGTGTAAACATGGGAAAATTTAATGCATTCTCGCAGGAATGTAACATTTCCCCCAGTACAAAATATCACCTATTATTTTTTTGAAGAAAATGTAATACCTTCATAGCAGTAACATTGCATTCTTAAAGAAACAGACCACCTGCTTTAAATACATAGCTATGGATGTGATCAGAGGTTATAACTGGATGGATTCACAAGCAATTACAAGAGACAAGAACCAAGGAGATTAATTCGTTAAACTAATTTCTGGACCTCTGATGAAATATATGTGTTGATGGTTTCCCTTATAAAAAAAAGATATTTGAAATGAGAAACCATACATAGTACTCACTAGAAAGATTTCTTTGAAGCCACTAAATAGTTCCCGAACAACTTTTCTCATCTGAGGCACCAGTTTAAAAATACGAAGGGGCCGAAGACACCGTAGAACCATTAGCAGCTGAACTCCTGATTTAGCAGGAACATTCTGAGGCATCCAGCAGAGAAACATCAGGCTTACCTTTGGAAAAAGAGAAAATAACCTGAATTATAATGTGAGTTTTAACATGTATTTTCATTCATACACTACAGGTAATCCTCGACTTACGACCACAATTGAGTCCAAAATTTCTGTTGTTAAGTGAGACATTTGTTAAGTGAATTTTGCCACATTTTATGACATTTATTGCCTCAGTTGTTAAGTGAATCAGTGCAGTTGATAAGTTAGTAACCCGGTTGTTAAGTGAATCCCCATTGACTTTGCTTGTCAGAAGGTCGCAAAAGGGGATCACATGACACCCCCCCCAGGACACTGCAACTGTCATAAGTATGAACCAGTTGCCAAGTATCTGAATTTTGATGATATGATCATGGAAAGGCAAAAACGTACAACTAAACAAGATCTTCTCCCCCCTCTTTACTGGAATAATACACTGTTGGAGAATGATAGAGTATGTACAGATTAATATTTTCTATTTACAATTCCATTTCCTATTTTTTTTCTGATAAAAAAATAGAGGGAAGCCATGGAAACAAAATATAGAATATTCTGAATATTCTGAATACAGAATAAAGAAAATACAGAATACAGAATACTGCCAAAACATTATGATGGTGTCGATGCTGTTGCTGTGCCCTTCACTTTCAGAAAAAGTCTATGAAGGAGGTGTGGCAACTGCAAAATAAATCCTTAGTACCATGATGAAATAACATACTAATAAAACAATGGAATTTCTTTGTTTATTTTAAATATTCATAGTCTCCTGGCAGTATATTTTTGCAAATATGTTAGACAACAATTAAGTCTAATTGTTTATATATTATAAATATACAACTGAAGGTAATGGAACTTTGTATGAAAATGATGTCAACTATGGATACAAATTATTTCTAACTCTTAACATAGGTCCTAGTTTTTACTGGTTTGAATTAACTTGAAGAACAAAAACTTACAAGGTATATAAAAATATCCATGACACCTCCAAAATCTCTGATGACTGCCGTTGGTGTAAAAAACAAGCCATCAGCCATAATCTTCAAGTTAAGTTCAATACTCATAAATATTACAAAAACATATTCAGCAATCTGAAAAACAAAGAAAAAACATTGACTGAATAACAGTAAGATTTCCAAAATACTGTACCCAAACCAATTATTTTCAGAAAATTACCTGTAATGTAGGTGCATGCATTACTCTTCGAAAAGGGGATTCAAACATCATTGAAATACAGGAACATATGGTGACAATGATCATTACCCAATCTAGATAAGTAACTAATCCCAGCAAATCACTGCAAAATAAAATGGAACAAGCTCAGTGGCAATGAGACTCCAGAAATTATAAATATCAGTCAAATATAAGTTGGACTAGTGAAATTAGAGAATTTTTCACAATGTTGACATCTTAGAAGTAATTATTCTAGAAAACATTTCTAGAAATAATTATTCTAGAAAACAGTTCTATTCTAGAAATTGAAGTTTGCAAAAAAGTGTACATCAATATATAAAATGCATAAATTCATTTTTGCTTACTAAAGTTGATGATATTTTGTGTTTTTAACTGCTCCAGTAACAGGATCTGTTTTAGAGCTGTAACAGAGAAAAAAATGTTTAGAATTCTATTGTTCAATTTTTATTATACAAAGCCGTGTTACAAATATATAAGGCAATCTGCATTTGAAATGAAGAGTATTTTTTAAAATAAACAACAACAAAACCACAAATTCATAGCCATTTGGAGATTGAACATTTTCATTTATGATCCCACAACTCACAGAAATTTGCTAAAATTTCATACCAGTTTCTTAAATCTAATGTTAATAGATATAGTTTAGATTGAGACTTAATTTTAAAATAAGGTGACTATTGGGCACTGGGAACATATAAGGACAATTTTTCTTTCTTTAATTAATAGCTACATTGGCTACCCATCAATGGAAACAGAATTTGTGACTTAATATATCCGTTCTGAAACATCAAGACAATTTATATTCTATTTTATATTTTTAGTTCAAATCAAAGTCCCTAAATCTTTCCTCAAACTGATGCTGTCTAATATGTTGTTTTGGATCTCTGAGAGTAGAAGTTCCAGAACTGGATGGGAACCGGTATTCTATAGCAGTTCCAAAGTTTGTATGACTTTAGGTTTGCACCATATCACTTCTGTTTAAGTTGTCATCACTATCCCCCGCCCCAAATAATATTTGTTTTAGCTGAGCACATGCAATTCCCTCTATGTTCTCCTGTATCAGCTGCCACATTTGAAAACTTGTACAATATTCAAATGAGTGTCAAGGGCAATCTGCATAGAAAGTATCACAACATTCACATCCCTGAATTCATTTGCAAATTTTGAAAAAAAAATATATTCTGTCACTTTATGTAGCAAAAGCAGTGCACACAGATTTCCTAATTTTTGTTTGTGCTTGAAAGAATAAAATAAATAATAAAACCAAGAGACATTTGCAAAATATGTAATTGCTGGCTATGCTAAAATGTCTCAGATTAGTTATTGATGTTATTTTGCAGAAGCTTTTTAATAACAGAACATAGTGAATCAAAGCAACACACCATCATAAGTTACACATGTACTTACGCATTAAAGCGAGCTCTAACTACAACTCGGCAGAAATTCCTAAATCTGTGTTCCCGGCCCACTATGAAGAGGGGCTTGTCAAAATAGGGGTGATTCTCCCGCAACTCTTCTTCCTGAACTTTTCTTTCAAGAACAACATGATTACAGAGACAGCAATCAATATATACATTTTTTTCTAATTTCTTTTGGATAGCAGCAATTATCTCAACTCTAGTACAACTGAGACAGTGTTAAATGTGGGGTTTAGAAAGCCTCTGGTCAGCTATGATGATTATTTAATAGTTACTAATAGTTACTATCAAGTAGCCCCTAACTTGTTAGGGTGCAAGTGAGATGATCAGGAGATAAAATAAGCTGGGAACTAAAACCAAAAATTACACAAAGAGTCCTATATGCAAGATCCAGAGAGTGAACCTACAAGATTTCAATGCATAAGTTCTCTTTCTATGTGAAAAGTTCACAGAATTGTTGAGAGGCTGTAGCAGCTTCTCAATGAAAGGGCCACCTTGAAGGAAACATGGAACAATAGAAGAAAGTGCACTTGAACAAGAAATGGTTCTCTCTTGAGAGAGACCTTGAACAAGAGTTCAAGAATTTGTTTGTTTGCTTGCTAGTGGAGAAACAATCACATTGCAAGTGAATAACGAAGCTTCATCTTTTTCTTGAAATGGAGATTATACAACTGAGTATCATTCACATATTAGTGATACCTCCACCCAAGTAGATCAAGGCTTCATGTAGACCAAGGGTCCCCAACCTTTTGATTCCAGTGGTGGTGCAAATGAACCTTCGTGCACTCGCTTGCTGCTTTAGTGGTCTGGTTCCCAACAGTCCATGGCTTGGTAGCTGTCATGGCCCGGGGTTGGGGACCCCTGATGTACACCTTAAGCATTAGGGAGGAATAGGATGGTTGCCCCCCCCCCAGCTCTCTACTTTGGAGTTCTTGTAAAGTTGACCTATTCCCCAATCATTGACTGAAACCAGTCCTCAAGGAGGAGAACACAATAAGACAGTGTTTCTCACAGGCAACTTTCATGGTTCAGAAGGATACCATGATCAATTGAACTGAAAACTCTTGAGAGATTCAGTTGCACTGCCCCACTGTGGTGCCACCACAGATCATCTACTGAAATGAGCAATGCAATTTCCATCCGATAACCAGGCCTGAATCCTGACCAACAAGCATCCAGAAAATCTTTAGGATTCTCTGTGGCTAAGGTACTATCCTAATTTCTTCTTTCCATAGAGAAGGCTGGACCCTGGATGATAATGGCCTAAATATACTACTAACTTTTATGATTGCAAGATCTTTGAAGATGTATGTCCAGCAAAGAATGCCCCCTTTAAAACTATGCTGGCCTTTGAGATTTATGCATATTATCTACAAAGAAAATATGCTCATAAGCAATCTATCAATGGGGTAACCAGTTAAAATTCACTAAGTAATGTTTGCCTAACTGGGATTCAGATCAGTCCTATATACTGACATAAAGGTTACATTTAAAATACCTTTTCATTTCTGCTTGTTCTTTCTTTTCTTGGATCATTTTAATTTCACTGTCTTCCCTTTGTGCATTTCTGTACCTCACTGTATTAGAATGCTGGAAGAAAAATGTTTTGTTAATCTGTTTTCTATTTTTTACTGTATGAAATTGCATTAAACCTTTAAAAAGAGAAAAAGAGAAAAAGAAAGTTTTCCATCAGGGTTGGAAGAAAATAATATCATAATCAGTAATTATGATCAGCTATTGTTAAACATTTTCTTTACCATTCTGTATATTTATTTAATTAATGCATTGGTCCAGATAAATATAAGCATGTCTGAACATATTACTGAGTTTAATATTAATTCATCACTGAGTTAGTTATTAGTTAGTTAGAAATTATGTTTAATTTCTATGATTGATAATAATAGGTCTTAAACATCAATTTATTATGATTAAGGAGCAAGGATGAATCCAATAAAATAAAATAAACGGTCCTGATTTGATAGAAACAAGAATGTAGCCATTGTGAATATTACAGAAAGCTGAATGCTTAGCTGGGATAGTAAAAATGCACAGCAGTGTTCTGAAGTGAAATCACTGAAAAAGTAAGAAGCAGGACAGATATTTTGATAAAATTTCCAATTGCATAGCATCAGGCTATTTTATCCATGTTCCAAATACATTGTTTA